TTATTAATATTAATTCTGTTTATAAAAATAATTTATTAAGATAATTGGGTTTATTAATACTAATAATGTTATATTAATAGTTTTCATGATTAGGTATTAATAATTATTAACATTAATAAGACAATTGGGCTTATTAATATTATCAATATTGTAATAATAAATTATTAACACAATTGGTGCTTATTAATATTAATCCCATTATATTTATAAACATAATATATTATTATTAAGATCATTGGGCTTTCCTTTCCTTTCTTTTCTGATTTATTTGTCTTTCTAACCTGATAAAAGCGAAGAAGAAATAGATATTATTAATAGCAGTTTTGGTCAGTGTTTGTGTGAATAAAGAAAGCTGAAAGAAAAAAAATCTGGGAGCTGGGAAGTTCTGCATCCAATCTCTGGTTCTTCTCCAAATGGCTATCGCAAAACACAACTGTTGTTGCCGTTTTGCACGCACGTGGAATGCGACAACTTTCTGGACTTTAGGGGGAGAAAATGGCGCATTCGCCGGAACAAAACAGAAGCAAAAAATTAGGGAAAATATTGTAAACGTCCCCGCTAGCGTTGGGAGTGAGGAAATGAAAACCTTCGGGCCAAAATCCTATCTCTTGAGAGATGGTGGTTCCACCAAACCTGGATACAACATGAACAAATCATTGCTTGTACCCACCTGTTGGATGACCTACCTGAAAACTGGTTGATGGGTTTTTGTTTTTTTAATTATTTCTTATTAATTAGGTAACCGCAGAGGATTGTAAAGAGGTTGTTCAGGCGTGTGAGAGCAACAACATTATCCTTGCCGTCTGCCACGTCCTACGGTACCATCCGGTCACCCTGAAGATAAAGGTGATGTGTTCTTAAACGTCCGACCGGGCAGCGGGTTGGACTAGATGACCTCCCTTGCCCCATCCCTCCTGCGATGCCACGATCTCTCTTTCCAACAGCCAATTTGGCAGAAGAGAGGCCAGCATTTGAATCTCTCCAAAATTCAATTTTCCGGGGAAACGAATGATATTTGCAGCCGTCTTTCTCCTCGACGGCAGACTAATGTGGGTTTGCCGGTCATTTTAAAGGGAGACGGTAGGCATCGGACTTGGGGCCTGTA